ACAAATACACAGTACTTCAAATATAAAGCAGTACAAATACAAAGTTCAGAATTACCAGAAAGTTTTGACTTTTAAGTAATCAAGACTGAGTTGGAGGAACTGAGACAACGAGAGGTAAAATACAAAGGAAAGGTTAAAGATAAACTTGAACTAAATTAGGGATGCTAGCAAAAGCACAATAAGCTTCTCTGGGAGGAGGAAAAGGGGCAATTCACTGATGAAGCCTAAAACACTTTGGATTAATATCCAAAAAAGTTAGAATACTGTATTTGGTTTCTTACAGATAAAGCAGATATTCTAATCAGTGCCTAGGATATAACATATTAAATAAGCATTTTTTTTCCAGACGATAAAGGTCACTTGGTTTCCAATAAAATTACTGTGCTTTGCTGACAGCCAATTCTATCTGTGGGCGTCGTCTTTGTTATTAAATTCAATTCAATCTAAGAAAATGATCACTTTACCTGAACTATTTTGACATACAGAATTTAAAGATAAAAAAGATTACAATGATATATAAATAAGTATATGTATATGCTTCATAAAAATAGATACTTAGGATATCTAAATATGTAATTGAATTAGAGTATTGTTATCTTGATTTTTTTTTAAAAAAAGGTCCTCTTGATGCCCCACTGCCACTGCCATGCAAGATTATCTACCAGCCTTGTTGTTAGATTGCCCAGTTAAGTATTCTCTATTTTTTTGGTGCATGTGGCCACATTCTCAGCCACACTGCATCTATAGAGTACAATACAAGCCAGAGAGATAGTACAGAATCACGAATGATGAATCACGACCATCCTGTTATTTGTCGATTGCCTCGAGCAGGCCCCAGTAACGTCTCCTTCATTCAGCCTTGAGATTATATTCAAGGCTCTTTAGGAGAATGAGACCCATCATTGTTACTGGTATTTGGCATATTGGGTACGCCACGGGGAGTTTGCCAGACTCTGCCATGTGGGAAGGCTACATTCGGTAGCCTGCCAGTTTGTCCAAAGTAGGAATGAGATAATAAGATGTCATAATAAGATGTCCGCATTCGCGGCCACACGGTTCTGGGAGCTGGTTTTTATAGTCTCTGAGTCTTGGCTATTGGTGGGATTAAACGGTGCCAGGGGGCCAGTTGGTGGGTGTGACCCCCGCCTCCTGGAATTTGGAGGATCTGGGTGGAGGATGCTCGTAACCAATCCAAGTAGGCTTGGAGATCTCGGCCCCAGAACCCACGTGGCTTTGTCCCTCTGCCAGTACCTTCATGTGTGCGAAGAGTGGTCTCAGCATGGTGGTGACTGGTCCTGGATGTCTTCGGCTGCCGGAGCCGAAGGGGCCCCGGTGAGGGCAGCCAGGCGTGGAGGCAGGAGACTGTACTGTTCTCTTCCGGGAGCTGGTTTTTTTTTGGGTGGGGGGGAAGGCCAAGCATAGTACAGAATGTAAGGTGTTTTCTTACACACAGCTGACCTACCTGGGTTCGATCTCTAGCATCCCATATGGTCCCTTGAGCACATTCAGTAGTAATTCCTGAGTACAGAGACAGGAGTAATCCCTGAGCACTGCCAAGTGTGGCCCCCAAACAATAACAATAACTTTCCCCAAACCTCAAAACTCTACATACATCTCAGTAGTCGCATACCAGTTTGAATTGGAATATAAAATAGAAGCCAACAAATCCTGGCTAACAAAATTTATATATAGAAGTTTACCTTCCAATAACAGCTTAGTAGATCCTCAGTCAAGGACTTAAAATCCCCATAGTGAGATGTAATGTACACAAATTTTTTTTGACAGCGATACATTTTTTTTATCACACCATTCACCATTTATTGGTAACAAGCAATATAAAATAAATTATTCTGGGCCTGCTCAAGGGCAGGCTTGAGTAATGATTAGGAAAATCGAGACAATGGTGGAAGGAAGGTGACAATGGTGGTGAGATTGTTTTTGGAATATTGATTGCCAATGACAAATCTTCATGAACAACTTTGTAAAATATGTTTTTTAAATAAAGTGGGGGAAAAGTCTTCCTGAAAAGAAATTTCTATAGAAAATAAAAGATGTGCAAGCTGTTTCAAAAAAGGACAACTTATGGTATTATTGGATCACAATATGTTAAATGTGCATTTATTTTTATTTGAGGTATCATCAGATTAAATCTTTTATTTGAGGGGAATAAAATTGAAAGCAAAGACTAAGGCAGTGATGCAGACACATGATTTCAGAAATGATGAACTGAGTGTCATGAAAATTTAGTAATTTTTCAGAATAGTGACAAGTAACTTTATAAATACCTGTTGATAATGGCATTGTCACTTTTAGAAGATTTTTTATAAAAAAGTAAATGATGTAAATGTGAAGACAATATGTATGCAATGATAAGATTTAACATCCTGTTTCTATAGAGTTGACTTTCAAATACACTAAGTATTGGGGCCAGAGTGATAGTGCAGTGGATAAGCTGCTTGTCCTGTATGGAGCTGTCCAGGATTCGATCACTGGCACTCCATATGGTCCTCCTTGCCCTGCCAGGTGTGATTCATGAGTGCAGAGGCAGGAATAACCCCTAAGTATTACTGGAAGTAGCCCCCAAACAAAAATCAAATAGACAAAATACTATGTTCTTAGTATTTATGACTGAGATAGACCAATTTAACAATATGAATAATCAAGTTTTGTGAATTCCTGTAGAATATAAAGTATATTTCTTAGAGGACTTTGAAATGGATAATCTAGAAGTTCATTTGTCCTTTCAACAGATTGGCCTTCCCAAACTCTCCTAAATCTGCAGTTATTTGATGGGATAAATTTACTTTGAACTAGTCTCTGAGAATTTGCTGTTCAAACATGAAATGACAGCTTATTGAGCAATCTACTTTTTCCATTACTTCACTCTGAGTTTTTGAAGGGCAGTCTGTGAAGACCACAGACACTGTTTATTCTTACTCATAATTTTAAGGTTCAAAGCTTTTCATTTACTACCCAACTATAGAAGACATATTTTAGGATCATAGCCTGACCTCCTAACTAAAGGATAGCAAGTGCCTGGCTATTGAAGTTACATACTCCTTTTTCTCCTGTCTTTCCATTTTGGCCTTATTCACTAGGAAATAAAAAGTGATATTTGTTTAGCAATGGCTTTCCAATATAGTAATAACAAATCAAAGTAGGGAACTGGTGATTTTTATTTGGATAATTTTTGTTATAATGTATCCACAAAATATGAAATATCTTGGAAGATTTCTTGAAGTTTTGAAATTATCAGATATCAGAAATTAGTCAAGAATGCACACTCATATATTTGAGTTTGTAAATCAATAAAATTCAAATCATAATATTTAAAATTTACAAACATCATGAAAATGATCATTACTTTAGGGTTTTATACTCAATACAATGTGATTTTTCCTATGATCTTATTTTACATTTTAAACAACCTTTATTGATTGATCAGTAAAATAAATATATTTGTGTGATAAAATCTTAAGAGAATTCCTTATCACATAGATTAACTAAAATCTGCTGATTAAAATAAATAGTATGTGCATGCCTCTAAAAATATTAAACTTTACTAAAATCAAAATCTTTTTTAAAAGTTGAAGAAACATTACAGAATAGATGTACTCTAATGATAAGAGTGACACCTACATAATGAATTATCTTAGACGATCTAATAAACAGCATGAATCAGAACCATAACATTGCAATTGTAGCTAAAATAAAAATCAAGATGAATTGTATATTGAGCTTTCACAGGAGCTAGTTACTGGGGTGCTAAGTGCTAGCACTTTGTATCTTATGTATTCTTGTTTCCATTTCCATTAGTAAACTAGGTCACTAGATGCTCAGTGACTCTTTAAAGGTCAGTCACACATAGTAAGTTTCACAGTCAGAATGAATTTGGTGTGCTCTGATCTGTTGATGGAAACTAAATTACCTTATGTGAATTATTTAAATCATTTAGGGAGCTGAAATGAACTTCACTGATCATAGGATATTTCTGGAAATTGGCACCCACATTGTTTTTTGTAAGCCACACTTTCATTTGTTGAACTCATTTATCTAAAGTAAGTACATTTGTGGTTTCTTTTATATTGTTTTATATTTTGAATAAAATTTACTATGTTATGTAGTATTTTACAACATAGCGTTGTTTATTTTTTTCCTTAAAATCTTCAACATTATAAATGAAAGAACACTTGAAAATCCCTTTTGTGTGTACCTCATTCATTTTAAACAATTATTATTTGCTATAGTTGATAACCACCCATAATCAGATGAATATTGATAAATAGCAAGTTCAGATTTAGAATTTTTGAGACAGTATTACCTGATCTTGTATATTTTGTCAACTTAAGATCTTTTCTCCAGTTCTCTGTACTCTCACACATTTAGAAGTTGTTGCCAACTCTTATTAATAATTTGCTAATAAATTACTTTTAGGATGTTAAATATGTAAATAATTAAAATGTAATGTGCATAATGCAATAAATTGAAATGTATGCCATTTTGCTACTTCAGCATCAAGCTGTTCAACAATTACTTTGTTATCATATTTTAAAGATTATAAAGTGTCTTTACTGATTATTACACTTCAAGATACTGGTAATCATCACTGACTTTTTAAATGACAGTTTTATTTTTAACACAAGTATTCTTGTGTTATTAAAACATTACTATGTAATCTGACTTTAAATAAATAGGCTTATTACTTTCAGAATCTTGATTCCTCACAGATTTTAAATCTGTATTGTTTCAGTAATAAAATATTGTCAGTTGTAGAATATTTTAATAAATAAAGTTTTTATTTTACTTTATTTTTTGTTATGAGACTGTCATTTAAGAACCCAAGAATTTATAATAACTGTAGATTCTTCAACTGCGGAATGAACTCTACTATGTACCCTCACCCCGCCCAGTTCCTGTTCCACCTCCTTGCGATAAAGTACTATTTTTCTTCAAACCTATTTACCTTAGAGCGCAGTGCCTGGCATTACTTAGCTGCAGAGATGAGTAACGAAAAAACAACGTATGCAGAGCTAAATTTGACTAAAAAGTCAAAAAGGCAACAAAAAAACCCTAAAGGTACTAAAGGCTTCACTTCAGAAACAGAGCAAGAAATATGCTATGCAGAATTAAATCTTCGAAATGCTACTCAGTCTCTGCAGGGAAATGACAAGAACTACTGCTGCAAAGGTAAACTGTTATATAAACATAGGATGTAACAGTTCTAGAGTGGGCAGGTGGGTTGCAGAGTGTTGGGAAAGAGAAGGGAGGAAACTCAATATTTTTCATTTTTGAGAATCAGAGACCTAACTTGGAATATGATATTCTTATATGAGTTCTGAACTAATTTTGCTTAGGCATTGTTGAACAAATCATAGAGCTTATACTTGCTAAAAATTCAATGTAGAGTTCTGGGAGAGAGATTGCAATGGACCTAGAGTCCAAAATGGTAATAGAATCACACTTCTAAATTCTTCTTTACATCTTTCCTTTCTTTTTAATTTGTTTTCATTTCACTCCCCATAGGATTATTGTCACCTCCAGAGAAGCTCATTGCTGGAGTTCTGGGAATCATTTGCTTTGTCTTGATGTGCCTTGTGTTACAAATGCTTATTACTCATTGTAAGTAAATTTTTGCAAGCTTAAAAAAGGAAATTTTACTGATGAACTCGCCTTCAGTATAGATTTTATAATATTAAAATCAGATCTCGCCTTTAAATGCAAGTTTATTTAGTCTAGTGTGGATTGCTTAATTTAAATTTATAATAAAAATATGATTTAGGAAATTAAAAATACCTTATTGGGAAATGCAATTTTTTAACTTTGTTAAACCAAATACAGAGGGAGATGTAACTTCATTTCTTTAATCTTTTAAAATATTTCCACTCAAACTATTCTCATATTGATTTCTTAATAAAATTAATTTTTTTACATGGAGTCACCTGCAATATTTCTCTTAATCTTGTTTCAAAGTACTCTTTTCTAGGATTGCTGAGAATGTGAATTCAGAGTCTGAATTGTCTTTACTTTTTGGGGGTTTGCTTTATTTCTCTTTTCTCTGCTTCTTTCTTTCCTTCTTTCTGCTATTGTCTCTCTGTCCATACTCTTCTTAGAATTAAAACCCTCCCTCAATAATACAATTTTAATTTTCACACAATTTTATTGCATATTATTCTAATCTTTAGCCAAGTTGTGTTGACCAAGATTCAAACCCTGGTCAACTGCGTGGAAGGCAGCTATGCTCGCCACTATAGCACCAACGTGTACGGAGCGATAGCCCAGTGGGTAGGGCGTTTGCCTTGCACATGGCCAACCTGGTCCACCAGGGTTCATTTCCTCTGCTCCTCATGGAGAGCCTGGCAAGCTACCGAGAGTATCTCGCTTGCATGGCAAAGCGTGACAAGCTCCCCGAGATGTATTCGATATGCCAAACACAGTAACAAATGTCACAATGGAGACGTTACTGGGCCCTCTCGAGCAAATCGATGAACAACGGGAGGACAGTGCTACAGTGCTACATTCTAGTCTTTAACAATACAAAAATTGTCAGCTAAGAAACTAATGTTATAGCGATATATTTGAATCAATTTATATTTATAGTTTTTCTTTAATTTTCTTCTAGCTACCCAGAATCTAAGGCAGAATAATTCTTCCACAATTAATGAAACAAGGAACCAGAAGGGTAAATACTGATTTTCAAAGTTTTAATAGTACATTTTATAATTTGTATATCTTAGACTAAGTAGAAATGCTAACCAATTTAAGAGGAATCATAGTTAAAAAATAAGAAAATAAAAGTTCATAAAATGTAATTGGTATGCAACAACATATAAAGAATAACTTATAATATTTTTTACAGAATTTGGCTCAAATATCTTACAGCTAAAAGTGATGGTGAAATAAATTATTCAACCTTGGAAATTGTTATTTGTGGCTAATGTAGATATATAAAGTGGAAGTTTTTCCTGAGGTATTTGTCTTATATCAACAAGTAAAATTAGGGGTAAGAAACTGACCCTTCCTGGGAGTTTTTGCATGAGAGTTGTACATTGTGTGTATCACGTCCTGACAGTGCAGAGTATGTAGTATATGTGCATGTTTTTACCTATGCACATGTAGCAGATCTATTTCTTGTTCATAATTCAACTTTTCTATTAATAGCTCAAGGTAACTCTCTGGTGTCTCATTGTGCTCATTGTCCTCCTGAGGGATTTACATATTCCAACAATTGCTATTATACAACGGATGAAAAAATGACATGGAATGAGAGTGTGAAGGCCTGTGCTTCTCACCAGTCTAACCTGCTTTATATAGAGAGCGAAGAAGAAATGGTAAGAGTTTAATGTTTCGACCACTTTACAAAAGACATTTCAGTTAATCCTTATTCATTTCTGCATATTTTATTGTATATTTTATACTCTCCACAGATTGACTATTAATATTTAAGTCATGCAGTTTTACTTTCATGTCATAATGCATGTTTATTATTCTTAATTTTTTCCAGAATGACATGTTTTACACAAATACTTTTATTTTTTTCTTCCATTTAAGTTAACTAATGATTATAATATTTCTCATATTACTGCTATTTATGGTCATTTAAGTGGATTTAATTAGTTTTAAATGAATCTAGTGTTATTGTGTGCTCTTAAGTGCAATAAGAAATTAGCACATTTTTCAGTCCACCAGTGACATAAGAAAACTCCATGTTTCAAAGAAGGCAGTTATGTTCACTCACTCTGTTATCAAAAAGTGAAATAAGAATCTTGGATACTGAAATCAGAGTATGAACAAAATTATCTACTTATAAACATTATAGAAAAATAGATTTTCTAAAATGAATAAAAAAATTTAAAAAACCAAGTCGGTAGAACATAGAATTATTTTTTCACCTGATTTCAGATTTTCTTCTTCCCCCACCTTCTCAAACAACCATAGTTTTCTCATCATTACCTCATACTTTGTCTTTTCATTGTGTTTTCTCTGCATTATTTTCTTCCTAATTTGGACATATGTAAAATCTTCTATTTGTGTTTTTCATTCAGACATTTCATGTGCATAATTCCATGGAATTCATTTATTTTGTTTTTAAATATTAAGGGCTGAAACAATAGCATTTGCCTTGCACACAGCAGACCTGGCCAACCCGGGTTCTATTCCTCCGCCCCTCTTGGAGAACCCGGCAAGCTACCGAGAGTATCTCACCCGCACAGCAAAGCCTGGCAAGCTACCTGTGACGCATTCAATATGCCAAACACAGTAACAACAAGTCTCACAATAGAGACGTTACTGGGCCCGCTCGAGCAAATCGATGAACAACGGGAGGATAGTGCTACATTGCTACAGTGTAAATATTAAAAGTTTCATTTTTTAAAAATAGCTATGCTGCATGCCATTGGAGAAGTGTATCACATCTACTTTGGTCATGTTTGTGGTACACTTCACTTCAGTTGCTCATTTTCAGCATTGAAGGAGTCAGTCTGGAGGTCTCTGGACACTGAATAGTCCTTGGTCCCACAGAACCTAAGTAGTATCACACCCTCAGACTCTCCCCATGATCTGGCCAATCTATTTGACTGAGCATATTTGGGAGGGGCCTTCCGGATTCCTGAACACATTTTGGGATTGCCCCACCAAAAATAAACAACAAAATGAAACATTTTTATTGCAACTATGTTGATTTATATGACTTTATACTTGACTTATAAATGACACTATATAGGACGTTATAATATGACTTATTCCAAAAGTTTATGCACATTTGAAATACAGTATTATCATACCACACCCATCAAAATCAGACCAATACTTGTCAGCACAATCCATTAGAACATTTTCAAAAACTCCCTCTTATGTGGTGATCGAAATTTTCATTATTCTTCTCTAGAAAGAACTTCTGTTCACATATAATTCTATTTATATATATATAGATCTGTTATTTGTCACGTACTGTTAACAACAGTAAGTTGCTAACTTACTGTTAGCAGTCTTGGGACGTTAAATGAATTTACATATTGTATATACATTTTTTGAAAAAATATTCAAATTTTCCAAAAATAAAAAAACAAATATGTGCCCATATTAAATTCACTGCTATAACTCTAATACAGATTATTGAAAGTATTTACTGATATGCAAATATGCACAGGCATATTAATTTAATTGTGTTTTTATTTAGTGTGTTTTTCAAAAAAATCTTCTTGCTTTTAAACTCTGAATTTTTATTAGCTATGTCTATAATATGTGTATTTACTATTCCTAGGAAACACTGTAGCACTGTCCTCCCGTTGTTCATAGATTCGCTCGAGCTGGTGTCATTAACTTCTCCATTCTTGTTTTTACTGTTTTTGGCATATCTATAAAAATTTCATTTTATCACATATATATTATGATGTTGGAGGTTAAATCCATGACTTAATATTTATGAAACAATGGCCTTAGACTGAGCTATATCCTGGATGGTATCATTTTCTAAAAAATAACAAGTTGGTAATGATCTTGTCAAATGCCTTCACAGCATTATAGATAGCATTATACAATCTTTGTGTTTTTGATTTCTGATAGAACTTATAAAGAAGAGTAAAAAATCTAATATACATTATAAATGATGACACTGTGACACTGTTCTCCTGTTGTTCATTGATTTGCTCGAGCTGGCCCAGTCTCCATTTTTTTGAGACTTGTTGGTACTGTGTTTGGCATATTGAATATGTCGTGGGTAGCTTGCCAGGCTTCGCCATGCAGGCGAGATCCTCTCGGTAGCTTGCCGGGTCTCCGAGAGGGATGGAGGAATTGAACCCAACTCAGCTGGTCTGGCTGCGTGCAAGGCAAACGGCCTACTGCTGTGCTATCACTGCAGCCCATAAATGATAGGATAATTACAATAATTTTCAGAACTAGAGATGGTCACAGAGGCACTATGAACAATTATATGGCCAAAACTTCTGTAGGTTGAACCTCCCTTGAGTTTCTGGAAGAAACTTTCTTGACAATGATATATGATCTTTCAAAAACACTGTTTAATTTAAAAGATGGTATTTTGTTGAGAACATTTACATCTCTATATATCAGAAATACTGCTTTTTGCATGATAGACTACTCATTTTTTACATTATCAGGGCAGTGATGATCTTATAAAATTACTTGGAATCATTCTTTTCTTCTTTGATCAATTTATCAATCTATTTCTTTTTAATTTGAAGAATGAGGTTGGGGAGTGGCATAAGTTAGTTTTTGAAGATTTAAGCATTTGGTGGAGCGATAGCACAGCGGTAGGGCGTTCGCCTTACAAGCGGCCAACATGGCCGACCCGAGTTCGATTCCTCCGCCCCTCTTGGAGAGCCCAGCAAGCTACCGAGAGTATTCGATATGCCAGACACAGTAACAACAAAGTCTCCAATGGAGACTTTACTGGGCCCGCTCGAGCAAATCGACGATCAATGGGAGGGCCTTTACTTTTACCTTTACCTTTTAGCATTTGGTAAAATTTACTAGTCAAAACTGGAATTCATAAAGGAGAGTGGCTTCCCTGAGTCACCTGTTATGTAGTTTGGAGTTGGGAAGTGGTAAGTCTAGGTCCTCTCCTGTCGTCTTCTGTTGGGTGGTGTAGATTAGATATCTTGTTCTGTATTGTTCCATAACTCTGCAGGCAGTGTTTAGTCTTTCTCTTTCAGGATCCTTGAAGTTTTACATCAGAATTTTAACTAATAAAGTTAATAGCAGGGACTGACAAATAGAAATAGGTCTATGACATCTTGTACAGATTGCCGAACTCCAGTAAAGAGGGATTGTTCTTTGCTTTACCTTAAGAAGAATGGGAGCACTTGGTTTAGAGATAAAGCTAAGGTATGGCTTTATGGTCTTACAGGAAACCAATCTTGGTTTGATCCCTGGGACCACATATGTCTCCCAAGTACCTCAAGGAGTGATCTCTGAGCAGAGCTGCGTGTAGTCCAAAAACAAAGAAAGAAAAGAATAGATTCAGGGAAGAAATTTGCATTTTGGGCATCCAGTTATTATTAATTTTCTCACTGCCAAACCTTTATAAAATCTTGTGTTGGTTTCTTTATAAAATCAAACTCTGAGTAAAACTATAAAACTTAAGGTGAATTTGCATCAGTATCTGTAGAAATGTCTGCTGCTTTACAAGTGAGGGCCTTAAACTCTCTCACCTGACTTGAATTCTTATTACTTTTTCTTATTAATTTTTACTTGTTTATTTATTATGTGCTTTCTACTTGATTTGACTAGTACTTCTTATATTCAACTTAACGGTCTGGACACGGTCCTCCCGTTGTACATCGGTTTGCTGGAGCGGGCCCAGTAACATCTCCATTGGAGACTTTGTTGTTACTGTGTTTGGCATATCGAATACGTCTCGGGAAGCTTGCCAGGCTTTTCCGTGCGGGCAAGATACTCTCGGTAGCTTGCCAGGCTCTCTGAAAGGGGCGGAGGAATTGAACTCAGGTCGGCCATGTTGGCTGCATGCAAGGTAAACGCCCTACCACTGTGCTATCGCTCCAGCAAATGTGATAATAATAGATGTTTTATTTTGTTTCCAATTTTAATGAAAAAGCTTACATTCAAGGAAAAAATGGGGCCAGGAAGATAGTACTGGGATTTCAGATAAGTAATGCATGTGTATACTCTGAATTCAACCACAGAGTTAACCCAGCATTGAAGGATTCAGCCTAGAGGTCTCTGGGCACTTGATAATTTTTGGTCCCAAAGAATCTGAGCAACATAACATCCACAGGCTCTCCCACTGATCTGCCCAATCTACTTGGCTGAGAATATTTGGAAGGGGCCTTCGGGATTCCTGTTCACATGTTGGAATGCCTCCACCAAAACTAAGTAACAAAATAAAACATTTTTATTCTTACAATGTTATTTTATATTGCATATTATACTTATAAATAACATTATATCTGACATTATATACAAAATTATAATAGACTGTTTTCCAAACATTTATACACATTTGGAAAACAGTATTGCCATACCACACCCACCACCACCAGGCCATATATGTCCAGCACAATCCATTAGACCATTCTCACCAAATCCCTCCCATGTGGTGATCTGAATTTTCATTATTCTTCTTTAGAAAGCCATTTTGTTCATATATGATTTTAATATAAATATATGTATTTCTATTATTTTTCTCTTTTAGCAACGGTTGCTTCAGCGTTGGGATATTAATTCAATTTACATATTGTATGTATATTTGGAAAATTATAATTTTCCTAAAAATGAAAATACACCCATATAAAATTAATTGTTACAACTCTAATATGGATTATTCAAAGTGTTTAATGATATGGAAATGTTCACAGACATATTCATTTAATTGTATTTGTATTTAGTGTGTTTCTCAAGAAAAATCTTTCCATTTTTAAACACTGAGTATGACATTAGCTATGTATGTATTTTTATTATTCTTAGATACATCCTAGATACATCATTGGAAGTGTGTTTAAATGAATATAAATAATACCAGCATTATTCTTAGGTCCTTCAATACGCATTTAATCAATTGATAGAAATCTCTTCAGAGATATTTCTTGAGCCAAGGTTTTTTTTTTTACCTACTTAACCCATACATCTTTGAGAATCTTTCAGAACAGAAAGTGATTAGTTTTCCATTTATTTTCTGGCAGCTAGGGGTATAGCTAGAGGACTAGAGCGTTTTCTTTGCACACAGGAATTCTAGGTTTTGTCCTTGGCACCACTGGAGATTGCCACAAACAGATTCTTTCCTGTGGGACAGGGGTGTGAGCATGAGGACCATACACTGCCACCACCACTTCCCACAATGCTGCCTAGTGGCCTTACTGCCCAGTCATGCAGTCTGACCCCTGTTTCTAAAACTGATTTTTCTGTGTTCTCAGCTGCCGTTCCTTCTTACTCGCTCTGTCTCCTTTGTTTCATGCTTTATCACTTAACCACGCAAAATGTAACATTGCTCTGATATTTAATATCTGTAGAAATCCTGGCTTTTTCTTAGTACTTCTTTCAGTGTACCGTCATGTGCTCATAAAGTAGGTCGGAGGATAGGTGCTTAACATTGCTGTAGCTAAAATAACTAAATTATTTGGAGCTGGCTAGATGGTACAGCCTGGATGGCTCTTCCCTAGCATGTCACTGACCCATCATCAATCCCCAGTACCCAATATGGTCCCCTAGGACTGATCCATCAGGGCAGAGCCAGGAGCGAGCTCCAAGTCAAAAATAAGGAAAAAACTATGTGGCTAGAGTTGAGCTCAAATTTATTCTAATGTTTGACATTCTCTTACCTTTTATTGCCACGCATAAAAATTGTCTGTTCTATGAAGTGATGGCACAGCGGGTACGGCATTTGCTTTGCATGTGGCCGACCCAGGTTCTATTCCTCCATCCCTCTCGGAGAGCCTGGCAAGCTTCCCATGGTGTATTTGATATGCCAAAAATAGTAACAAGTCTCACAATGGACACATCACTAGTGCCTGCTCGAGCAAATCCATGAACGGGAGGACAGTTTTACAGTGCTACATCCCTTCTATCAATATTTTATTTTATTTATATATAAATATAATATTGAGATGTTGGGGATTGAATCCATGACTTCATATTTACAAAACAAGGACCCTAAAAGTGAACTATATTCCAGGATGTCACCATTTTTCAAAAATTAACAAATTGGTAATGATCTTATCAAATGCCTTCACAATATTGTTGATAGTAATGGATCTTTTTTGTATTTTTTTCATTGATAACACTTATATAGAAGACTGAAATTTCTAATATACATTATAAATTATAGGATATTACAATAAATATTAAAGAAATACAAAGGTTCACAGAGGCCACTATAAACAACTATATGGCAAAATTTTGTGTAGGTTGAATTTCCCCTGACTTTCTAGAGGAAACTTGCTTGCCAATGATATGTGATCTTTCAAAAATACTGTTGCATTTGAAAGATATTGTTTTGTTGAGAACTTTCACATCTCAGTATATCAGAAATGCTGTTTTTTTTTCTTTTTGAGGGTTATCCTAGTCTTTTTTTTCATTAACAGGGTAATGATGGCCTTATAAAATTACTTGGAATCATTTCCCCTCATCCTTTGTTTAATTGATTTGTCAATCTATTTTTAATGTAGTACTGCTATCTAGTCAATTGTTAATTAAGCTGCTTGACTTGCACATGAATTCCAAGATCTATTATTTTTATTAGAAAAATGAGGCAGGTAAAAGAGGCACAAGTTTGTTTTGAAAATTTAAGCATTTGGTAAAACTCAATGATTAAAATTGAGATTTATAAATGAGAAAGGCTGCAATATTGATATTGAAAGGTCATTAAGAATATCTATTTACCTACTTTTAACCCTCAGATCTTGTCCAGCGTGATCATTCCCAGTTATTATTGTCATACTGGTCTCTTATCTATCTTATTTCTTCTCAGTCCCATACACACTTGTGGTTAGTTGAGAGAGAGAAGAGAGAGAGGGAGAAGGACAGAAATGGAGAGAGACAGAGACAGAGAGAGGGGAGAGAGAGAGAGAGAGAGAAAGAAAGAGAGAGAGAGAAGAAAAGTGCCTGTCATAGAGGCAGGCAGGGGATTGGGGGTGATTGGAGGGAACCTGGGGACACTGGTACTGAGAAATGTACACGGTTGGAAGGATGGGTGTTGGAACGCTGTATGACTGAAATCCAATCATGAACAGCTTTCTAAGGGTGTCTTTCATGGTGTTAAATTAAAATGTTAAAAGAGAGAGACATACAGATAGATAGATATGAGACAGAAAGGAAAGAGAGAGAGAGAGAGAGAGAGAGAGAGAGAGAGAGAATGGCTGCCCTGAGCCACCTTTTATATAGCTTGGTGTTGGGAAGCAGCAAGTATAGGTCTTCTGTTGGGGGATCTATAGTCATGTTTTTCCTTAACTGTTGTTTCATAACTCTGGAGAAAACTTTTTGTCTTTCTCTTTCGGAGATCTTTAACTTTTACGTTGGAATTTTAGTTAATAATGTTATTAGCAGGGACTAACAAAGAGAAATCAAGTCTATAATAGCTTGAACAGATTCTTGGACTCTTTCAGTAAAGAGGGATTGTTCTTTGCTTTATCTTGCTGAGAATGAGAACTGTTGTTGGGTTAGAGATAGTACAGGGGTTAAGGAACAGTCTTATGACCTTGAGGAAACTAATGCTAATTTGACTCTTGGTACCATATGTAACCCTTTAGTACCTCCAGGAGTGATCCCTTAGCACAAGTTGGTGTAGACCCCAAACAAATAATTTTGGACATCCACACAATTATATTTATTTATTCACTGCCAATCCCTTATAAAATATATTGTTAGTTTCTTTATAAAATCAATCTTGATTAAAACTGTTTATGTTACAATTAATTTGTGTCAAGGTCTGGGGAAATGAATGTCAAAGCAGCAGGAAATATAATATCTAGTGGTTATTTCTATCAACATGATTAAATTATGCGCACCTCATTTTCCTTTTTAAATAAGAAACAGAACAAAATCGCTATTGTTTTATATCTAGCAATTTAACTCAAAAGCAAAATAGTCATAAAATATTAGGCAATTTGAAAAACAGTAATAATCTCTATGTGTCAAAGTGAAATCTAGCACTGATTTTTCAATTTTTAATGAAGAATCCCTTGAAAAAGCAACTACTTTCATTTTTAAAATAATAACATTTCTCATCATAAACATTGTATATTTCTGGGATAGAAATTTTTGGAGATCATATTACCTCCGATTTGGGTTGACATATTTCGTGACAGAATACACCATCCATGGAAGTCAATAAATGGTTCAACTTTCAAGCAACTGTAAGTTTTTTATTTGCTTTAACTATTTTAACGTGTAGAGAAAATATAAAATTTCATAAGAATTTTAATTAACATGATTCTCCTGCTAAAAACTGAAAACATATTTATGCATTATTCTCATTAGCATGGTAGCACTGTCGTCCCATTGTTCATTGATTTGCTTGAGCCGGCACCAGTAACATCTCCATTGCGAGACTTGTTACTGTTTTTTGGCATATCAAATACGCCACTGATAACTTGCCAAGCTCTGCCGTGCAGGAGGAATACTCTCAGTAGTTTGCCAGGCTCTCTGAGAGGGATGGATGAATCGAATCCAGGTTTGCTGCCTGGAAGGCAAATGCCCTAAGGGCTGTGCTATCGCTTCAGTCCCATTATTCTGATTACAGAATTAAAATAAATAATTTTGAGAATATAAATGTGCTCTATTAATCTTTTATTGTTTTTAACTAATATTTCATATAAATATTAAAGTATGGAGTGGTTAACCTTCTGAACCCAAATTTTTTGAAAATTATCTTTTCCACTTTCAATATATTATAGTTTATTCCTTTACACAGAAAATGTTACTGACTAGTGAGTTTCCCGCTAAAAAGTGCGAACATATTTATGTATTTTTTTCATTACAGGATTAAAGAAACTTCAGATGAAAAACATAACTGTGTTGTATTACTCTCACCTAACCTCCGTACAGAGATTTGTAATAGTCTAAATTTATATTATTGCAAGCATAAACTTTAGAATTAGTACAGCAATATATGGATTCTATTGAATAAATTGATAATCTTAAAGAGAATAGCTTATATTCTAATAATAATAATGACCTTACCAAATCAAATTGAAATGTACAAAAATAAAGTTTTAGTAATTACTGTAAAGTTTCTGGGCTGGAGCAATAGCACAGCAGTAGGGTGTTTACCTGGTGTGCAGTCAGCCCAGCAGAGCCAGCTTAGATTCCTCTGCCCCTCTCGGAGAACCCGGCAAGCTACCTAGAGTATCTCGCCAGCACGGCAAAGCCTGGTAAGCTACCCATGATGTATTCAATATACCAAACACAGTAACAACAAGTCTCACGATGGAGACGTTAATGGACCCACACGAGCAAATCAATGAACAACGGGAAGACCATGACCGTAAAGTTTCTATATGTACCTTTTCTATTTCAGGGCAATTATTTCTATATTTCATCCAAGTATGAGCTTTATTGTGTTATCGTCATACTTATATTAAAGTTATTCACATTTTTCTTTAATAGGATAACATTCCAATTTTTCTACTAGATTCTATAAAGAGTGGTGGTAATTTTTATTTTTTTGTTTAGACTGGAATAACAACTATTTTCCATTTTATGTTTGTAAAATGATGTTAAAATAATCCTGCATTTCTAAAATAAATCTACAGTGAGTGGATGTGATATTTTTGGTTTTAAAATTGATGTGTATCTATATTAATATTGAAATGTTTTTTAACCCAATATCACAGAGATTACAATAAGTTCTTATTTATAACTGCATACTTAAATTTTATCAAAGCTACATGAGGAAGCATTCACTTATTGCATTAGTTGATGGTAATTGTAATAGGACACTCTCTCACACACACACATGCACTCACACACACATAAACACAAGTCTATATCATTGATATATTGACATATAGACATATAGATACTTGTGTCTATATCATATATATGTCTGTGTTTATATCATATATAAGTCTACATCATTGAAGGGTGCTCACATATATGTGTGTATACATATATATGTATACATATAACTTGTATTATTTGTTATCCCGTTGCTCATTGATTTGTTCAAGTGGGCACCAGTAACATCTCCATTGATCCCTGTGACATGCTAGTGTAGCCCAATGGTGTCTGCTTCTCTACAGGAACATGAAGATAATTAATTAAACTGTTGTTCAGGGTCTTGACAAAGAAGTCCCACCACCTTGTAGGTGGTGGCCAGGCATTCTTTAGACGTTTGTGGAATCCAGCTGGTAACGGGTCTAGTCTGACAGTCGTCTACAAATCACATTATCTGTCTGTTCATCTGATTTTCCACACGTTGGCCAATGATCAGTGTCCCTGATCCTCGATGGTTGACGGAGGATGGAACACCAAATTCCTTTTCTCACTTGAATGAAGTGATATATATATATATATATATATATAATGTGTATATATATATAATATTGAAACATTGTAGTATTCTAACAGTGCTCAGGGACAGTGAAGAGGGGTTCTTCCTAGCAATGATCTCAGAAACATACGAGGTGCTGTAGATAAAGCAGGATCCAACTAAGGAGAATAGCCCTTACCATGTATATTTTATTTGTTTGTTTTGGTGTTACATGGATAGTGCTAAAGACTTTTCCTGTGTAAATTTGTTGTAATGCATCTTCGTAATTTTAATATTCTTGGATTTTTCAGTTACTTTAGAGATTGAAGTGTGTTTGTAATTTTGCATTATTATCTGTTTATGTGTGTAAAATTATCACTGTTGAAAATGAAAAATTTTGTCTTTCCAATTTTCTCAACAGTTATTTTTTCTTTATTTGATCTTTATTTTCTATTATTCTTGATTTTTTCTTTATCAACAAAACACCTTGGCTCTAGTGGTCCTCTAACTCCATTCTGATGATGCCATATGTTTCTAATGATTATCAGTTTCTTCCTTTTACTTTCCTTGCTCCTTTTTTTATTTCTAAATCTGGGACTGTTGAACCACATCCAAGATGTTCAAGAGCTGTTTCTGGCACTGTGTTTATGAATTACTCGTGGCAATGCTCAGGGGATCATATGTTGTTCTAAGGATAGAACCTGGGTCTGTCTGACTTTCATACAAGGAAGTGCCTTATATCCTGTGCTTGCTCTCTGATCCTTTACTTTCTCCTAAAAACAGTAACAACAAGTCTCACAATTTATTGTGAGAAGTTACTGGTGCCCGCTCAAGCAAATCGAGGAACAACGGAAGGACAGTGCTGCAATGCAACATTCCCCCTAATTCAGCCTTTGGGTTTCGTTTTGTAAATGCATCTCTCTCTCTCTGTCTCTGTCTCTGTCTCTCTCTCTCTCTCTCTCTCTCTCTCTCTCTATCCTAGCTCTATTTTTGATCCCTTTTTGCTTTTTTGTTTTCTTACTCTCTCTTTCCTTCCTTCGTTCCCATTTATGTCTGCACAGAATAGACTTAATTTCATAATTTTCTTTAAATTCATATGTAATGTGAAAGTTCACTCTGTCCATTTACTAAATTGCTCTGTTAATTAGGGATGCATTAGTGAATTTAAAGCCAAGTAACAATATTCATGAATTTAATTTTCACTGCTCTTTTAAACTCCTATTAGAAAAATTTTTGTAAATCTTTGAATTTCCTACATTTCTTTTAAATATGCCTTCTGTGATTGAGTAACCACTCTTAACTTTTCATTTTATTTTATTTTTGTTTCTGTGTCAAACCTGATGGTGCTTGGGGCTTTTCCTCACTCTGTGCCCGGGGACCACTCCTAGCAGTGCTCAGGGGATCATACTGGATTAGCCAAGTGTAAGGCAAGCTCCTCACCCTCTGAGTTATTGCTCTGGCCCCTTTAATCTTTAATTTTATTTAATTAACTTAAAATGAACTTCGATGTCTACATTTCATGTGGTTAATCTTGGCTAGTGTCTGTTGGAAGAACACCACAGTTCAATAATGTTATAATAATATTGTAAGAATTATGAATGTAGCTGGAAAGAAAGATGGCGGCCGCATGGGAGCCTTGTGAACAGCGGGTATGAGCCGGGGGTCGGAGGTGACAAAAACCTCATGGGAAGGGGGGCGTTCTGGACTGTCCTTCACGCTCTACCGAGGTCATCAGTTGTCCCCCACAAGCGGCTCTCCATCACGGCCATGACTCCAGAGCACAGAAACCAATCTCTTAATTATCTGACTTTTAGTAGAAATACTTCCAGGGTTAATAAGTAAAATAGCAGAAATCCAAAACCAACATTTAATTCTTGAACCCAGCTGTAGAAAGCAAATCATTTAACAATGCTTTTTCAGCATGTCTGATTTGGGGGGGGGGGCGTAAACTCTAAAAAATAATGGTGCATCTTTTATTGAAACCATGAATCTAGTCAAAGTAGATAGAGTGTTAACTAGAACTCATCTGCCTCACAGGAATTGGGAGGGGTGGGAGGTGGGGTTTTATAGGGTTTCGTGGTAAAAAATAAGTATTGGTAAAGGGAAATGTGTTTGATATTTGCATGACTGAGACCTAAACCTGAAAGCTTTGTAACTTTTCCCACAGTGATTCAATAAATAAATAAATTATAAAAAAAAGAATTACGAATGTATACTACATCTAAAATGTATGTGATCATTAAAGATTATCTTATTTGTGCATTTAATATATGCATAGAATATTTCTATATGTTATTATTTGGTGTATTGCTTATGTGTATACACTACAGGTTTGTGTGTAAATAATATTCTATGCAGGTAGATCAAATTGTTTCATAAGCAGTGAAAATTATTTAATTCATCATTTTCGATCGGAGAGCCGGGCAAGCTACCGAGAGTATTCGATATGCCAGACACAGTAACAACAAAGTCTCCAACGGAGACGTTACTGGGCCCGCTCGAGCAAATCGACGATCAACGGGAGGGCCTTTACCTTTACCTTTACATTTTGCAAATCTGTTATTTTAGTATTCTCACAAGGCTCTCATAAACCACTAAAAATAAATTGTAACTGTACACTTAATCACTTAATCACTTAACTTCCCGTTAGTCGTCGATTTGCTCGAGCGGGCACCAGTAAAGACTCCATTTGTCCCTGTCACGTGCTAGTGTAGCCCAATGACATCTGTTCGCTCTGGGAACATGAAGAGCCTCAAACCGATCGTTCATGATCTTCACGAAGAAGTCTGACCATCAGGTAGGTGGGTGGCCACGCGGTCTTTTGACATCCCGTGGAATCCAGTCAGTAACAGCTCTAGTCCAGCAGTCGTCTTTAAATCTCATTACGTGTCCAGCCCATCTGATTTTTGACACCTTGGCAAATGAGACAGCGTCCCTGATTCTTGATCGTCCACGGATGTCAGAACCCCAGATTCTTTCTCTAATTTGAGTGAAACGTGATATTCCAAGCATAGCTCTTTCTATTCTTCTTTGGGAGACCTGAATAACGTTCTCATCTTGTTTGCGTAGGGCCCAGGTCTCTGAGGCATATGTTAATGCAGGAAGAACAGTGGAATCAAAGAGATCTGCCCGGAGCCGGAGGTTCTTCGTCCTCTTATCTATTTCTTCGACGTTCTTGAAAGCTTTCCAAGCCGCTCTCTTCCTCCTGCGCAGCTTGGGTGCCAGGTCATTTGTCATGTTGACTTCTCGACCTAGGTACACATAGCTGTTTCATTCGGAGATGGTCGTTCCATTGAGAGCGAATGGGACGTCAGGAACGAGGCTGTTTCTCATAAACATTGTCTTCGTAAGATTCAGCTGTAGTCCTACCTTTCCACACTCACGGTCAAAGTCGGCCAACATTTGTGCCGCTTGGCTGAAGTTTGGTGTTATTAAAACAATGTCATCAGCAAAGCAGAGGTGGTGTAGTTGCCGACCATCTATCTTCACTCCCATTCCTTCCCATTCCAGTTGTCGCATGATGTTCTCGAGGGTGGCACTGAAGAGTTTCGGTGAAATCGTATCACCCTGCCGAACCCCTCTCTTGACATCAACAATCACTTCTTTGTAGAATGGTGAGATCCTGGTAGTGAATCCTCAATACAGCTCACAGAGGATCTTGATGTATTGGGCTCGAACGCCCTGATTGGCTAGGGCTTCAATGACTGCTTCCGTCTCAACAGAATCAAAGGCCTTCTTTAAATCAATGAACGTTAAACAGAGCGGCATCTTGAACTCCCGAGAAACCTCAATGAGCTTGGTTATCGTGTGGATATTGTCGATGGTGCTGAATCCTTTGCAGAACCCAGCTTGCTCGTATGGTTGTCCTTCATCTAGTGTTCTGCCAATCCTATTTAAGATGACTCGAGTGAACAACTTGTAGATGACAGACAATAGGCAGATCGGGCGATAGTTGCCAATGTCATGGATGTCTCCCTTCTTGAACAGTAGTACGGTCCTGCTGGTTTTCCATTGGGACGGAACCTTGCATTCAGACAGGTAGCGAGTGAAGAGCCGAGCCAGTGTATTGATGAGTACTGACGGTAGGTTCTTCAGGTGTTCAGGTCTGACCTTGTCTGGGCCTGGTGCTGTTTGTGTCTT